AACTCCTCTTACTGGGCACCTCATTTGTTATCTGTGCAGCAGGGGTAATAACAGCCTAGGCTGTCTCATTCCACCCTGTTGGAATCAAATGAAACAGTGTATATGCAAGCAAATAGCAAAGAGTAATGTAATTGTGAGGTGACTGACTTTTCCAAAAGAGCTGGCGATTGCTGAACTTTGGGCTGTTCTTGGGGAGCCAGGGGAAGAGGCATATTTGTGTGTTAGAATTGGAGGGGTAGATATACTTGCCCCATTCCTGTCCCCATTTCCCCAAGGGTCTTACTTGTTGATGGAGCAGAATGAGAGCCAGGGAAGGTTGGAGGGTACCACGGACTGTAGCCAGGCATGAGGCCACCTCTCCGCCTCCAGAAACCCTTCAACAATAAATGGGTGATGTCTGCTTCTTGCCATGATTGAGTCACAGAACAAATTTACTGTCCTCCCTGAAACTAGAGAAGCACACGATGAAGACAGGCATTTTCAGACATTGGGCAACATGCAGCACAGGACTGTGATCCCTGAGAGAAGAGCCACAGGCCCCGGGATTGCCCCAGCCTACTGCCTGGAGAGCATTTCCAGGCTGCAGAGCAGGGAGAGGCCAGACAGAGTCAGTGTTCTTGCAGAAGTGAGGTCACAGAGTTCAGAGTTGGGGGGGCTTTAGGTGGGTGACATTGGGGAACAGTTCCAGGGAGGAGGGAGCTGCAAAGAGAACTCTGGACATCTACAGAAGGTACCCTCTAGTCTTTGGCTGAGTGTTTAAACTGTTTATATATGAAAGGAAATTAAAAGCACCTGGAAAGTACTAGGCCCCCAAACTATCAGAGCTCACACAGGGCTGAGAATGGCAAGTGTTCTCCCAGCTAAAGACTTCAGTACCCAAAGTACTGGGTGAAGTTTCCATCTTAGTAGTGGAGTTACAGTAGCCTTAGGCTGACCCCTGCTCTGGAGCCTCCCTTGCAAACTTAAAAGCAATCCTTGAAAGGATCTACCTGTTCCCAGATAACTTAAAGCAAGACACACAAAGTTCATCTCCATTCAGAGGAATACAAAAAAAATCCAGCAACCAACAACATAAAATTCCCAAAGAAAAAGTACAATGTGGGAACAGGGAAGCATGTTTTGTAAACTAGGAGAAAAACTGATCAGTAGAAACAGACCCAGAATATTAGTATAGGTTCTCTAGAGAAATAGAACCAATAAGATATTTATTATAAGGGATTGGGTCGTGTGGTTACGGAGGCTGAGAAGTCCCAATATCTGCACTTGGTAATCGAGACCCAGGACAGCCAATGGGGGTAATGCCAGTCTGAGACTCCCAAAGCAGGAGAAAATTGATGTCCCAGTTCAGAGATAGGCAGAGAGACTGAATTCTCCCTTACTTGGCCTTTTGTTCTCTCCAGACCTTCAACTGATTGGATGAGGGCCACCTGCTTAGGGAGGGCAATCTGCTTTACTCAGCCCACCAGTACAAATGTTAATCCCATCCAAAAGTACCCTCATAGACATTTCCAGAATAATGTTTAACCAAATAGCTGGGCACCCCTTGGCCCAGTCAGGTTGATATGCAAAATTAACCATCACATACAGAAGTGACAGAGCTGAAGGGATTAGGAGATAAGAGCATTAAAACTGCTATTACAGATATGGTCTGTATGTTCAAGAAGGTAGAGGAAAACATGAACATGCTGAGATATCTTAAAAAGAATCCAAGTGAAACTTCTAGAGATGAAAAACACAATTTTTAATATGAAAAACACACTGGATGGGATTAATAGAAGATTAGGCATCAGAGTAGAAAAAGATTAGTGAACTTGAAGACACAGCCATACAAATGATCCAAAATGAAACACAAAGAAAAAGAAAAGACCAACCTGTGGCAAACACAGGGAACGAACACAAGGGGCACAAGCCGATGCTGTTCCTGTAGCCTCCCCTGACTCCTCCTTGGGCTCTGCAGGCAACATGTCTTCCTTTGGCAACTGGTGTTGGAAAAATTCATTTTCCTGACCTGTGTTTAGTTTTGTCCTCCCATTAAATATTTCATATATAGTCATACATTTAATTTGTAAAATAGATTGTGATATTATTATTACATAATGAATTAAAATGTGTGAATTAAAATATTCCAAAAGTCTTTTAAAAAATAATATTATAGTGTAGGATATGTATAAGAAAGAAGATGACAAATATTTGAAGGACATTTTTCTAAATTTGATGAAAACTATAAACCCACAGGTCCTAAGAGCTCAATGAACCACAAGCATAAGGAACATGAAGAAAATGACACCAAGGCACATCATAATCAAATTGCTTAAAACCAGTGACAGAGCAAATCTTAAAAGTAGAGGAAAAAAAAGACTGTACCCACAGAAGAGTGACAGCAGATTTCTCTTGGAAAGATGCAAGTCAGATGGCAGTGGAGCAATATCTTTTTCAAATATTAAAAGTTCTCATCTTTAAAAAAATTTTTTTTCTGAACTAAAATTACATACTCAGCAAAAACCTTTCAAAAATGAATGCAAAGTAAAAGCTTTCTCAGGTAAACTAAAGTTGAGAGGATTTATCTCCAGCACACCTACATGATAGAAATGTTAAGGGACGTGTGTCAGACAAAAGAAAAATAATGTCAAATGGAAATTAAGATCCTCACAGAGGAATGAAGAGTTTTGGAAATGGTAAATATGTGAGTAAATAGAAAATAAATACCATGTTGGAATACTGTATAATGTATGACATTAACACAAAAGATGTGGTTGAGAAGTGGAAGTATACAGTGGTGAGGTTTCTACACTGTAAGTAAAGTAGTGTTAATATTACTTGAAGATAGACTGTACTATATTAAATATGTATATTGGAAAACTAGGCCCACTACAAATAAAGACATACAACTAATCTATTAATAAGGAGATAAATGGAATCCTAAAAAATAATCAGCAAAACAAAGTCAAGGAAAGAGGGGAAATGAATAAAGAACAAATAGCAAGATGGTAGATTTAAACCTAGCCAAATTGATAATTACATTAAATGTAAGTGGCAGAGATTCTCAGTTTGGATTTTTTATTTTTCATATTTTTATTTTTTTAAAAAGATTTTATTTATTTGACAGAGAGAGTTACAGCGTGAGAGGGAACACAAGCAGGGGGAGTGGGAGAGGGAGAAGCAGGCTTCCCGCTGAGCAGGGAGCCTGATGTAGAGCTCTATACCAGGACCCTGGGATCATGACCTGAGCCAAAGGCAGACGCTTAATGACTGAGCCACCCAAGCGCCCCTGGATTTTTTTAAAAAGGAAGATCTTACTGATGTTTAAAATATAAAATGAGGGTTGCGTGGGTGGTTCAGTCAGTTAAGCATCTGACTTTGGCTCAGGTCATGAAATCAGGGTCCTGGGATTGAGCCTCCCCATCAGGCTCCTTGTTCAGCAGGGAGTCTGCTTGTCCCTCTGTCCCTCCCCCCACTCGTGTTCTCTCTCTTTCTCCCTCAAATAAGTAAAATCTTTTAAAAAAATGAAATATAGGGGCTCCTGGGTGTCTCAGTTGTTAAGCATCTGCCTTCGGCTCAGGTCATGATCCCAGGACTCTCCCTCTCCCACTCCCCCTGCTTGTGTTCCTCTCTCGCTGTGTCTGTCTCTGTCAAATAAATAAATAAAATCTTTAAAATAAAATAAAATAAAATTATAAAAGATTAGAAGACTACAAGTTACAAGTAAAAGGATGGAGGGGCGCCTGGATGGCGCAGTTGGTTGGGCATCTGACTCCTGGTTTCGGCTCAGATCTGATCTCAGGGTTGTGAGATTGAGCCCCATGTCGGACTTCCCACTCACTGTGGAGTCTGCTTGGGCTTCTCTCTCCCTCTTCCTCTGTCCCTCCCCACTTCATGCATGCTCTCTCTCTCTCACTGAAAAAAATAAATAAACCTTTTAAAAACAAAGGTAAAAGGATGGAAAAATATATGCCATACAGCCACCAACCAAAAGAAGGCTGGAGTGGCTGTATTAATATCAGGCAGAGTAGGCTTCAGAACAAGAAATAAGCCCAGGAACAAAGACGGACATTTCATAATAATAAAGAAGACATAATTTTAAAAATTTATGGGCTAGTAACTGAGCTTTAAAATACATGAAGGAGAAGCTAGTAGAACCAAGAAAGAAATAAACACACAGTTCCATGAGGAGACTCCAGTACCCTTTTCTAAATGATTGATAGGACAAGTAGAAAACCAACAGTCTAGAAAACTTGAGCAACACCATCAGCCAAATTAACCTAATTGACATTTAGAGAACATGCTGCCTAAGAACAGGAACACACCTACTCTTCTCAGCTAAAATGTAGCAGAGCAGGGCTCCAGCCAGGTACGTCTGACTTCAGAGCCCTTTTCCCTCCATCCCAAGTATGCTGCCTGTCAGGACAAGAACGTTCAGCAGAGGAGGAAAGAGAAAAACAAACATTTTACGCAGGAGCCCAGTGGGGCCAGCTCACTGTAGGTGGCTCTGGCTTCAGATGCGAACTCTACCACCTGGGGTGGAGTGTGTGTGTGTGTGTGTGTGTGTCTGGGAGAGCCATTCTTTTATATTTGTACTTACGTTTTGAAGTTGCCTTGTGTATTGAATCCCCATCCGGTGAGCGCAGTAAGAGGCTGGGTGTTACCAGGCGTGTTGTTTGATGGGTCAGCATCCAGTGTGGCTCTGCTGGGTCTGCCCTCACGACCAGCTCTGCTCATGCCTCTGGGCCTCCCCTGACTCCCTGCTGCCTGGGCCCTCCCTCTTTTGTCCTCCACAGGCTCCTCCTCATCCCTCACAACCTAGCTCAGAAGTTGCCCCATGGGAAGCCACCCCCAGCCCCCAGGTCTGCCCTGTATCACGTGCATCCTCTTGGTGGAGCCCTCAGCCTCTGCACTGTCCTTTTTACTACTTCTCCATCTCTGCTTTCATGGCGGCGTGGAGGGGACCAGAGTCTCCTGTCATGCCCAGGTAAACACTGTTACTTCCTTTTCTTTCCCCTCAGCCTCAAGGACAAAAATCAAGGTGAGCTCATCCCACCTGTGCTGAAGTTCACAGTGACCTACCTGAGAGAGAAAGGTAAGTGAGAGCTGACTTCAGCCAGGGGTGCGAGGGCCTCTGGGTGCACCTCCCTGGGGGGGGCCTGACTCACGGCCTGAGCACCCTGCAGACCAGGGAATTGGAGGGGCTGGAACCTGTGCAGGGAGGCTGACCAGGATGGACTGGGCTCAAGCACATGGATTGTCTGGGTTTGAATCCTGGCCCCACTGTGTACTGGTTGTGTGACCTTGGGCAGTTACTTACCTTCTCTGGGCCTCTGATTCCTCATCTGCCCAGTGGGGTTAGTAACGGTACCTGGGCCTAAATGACATGATACACGTAAAGCCCCCCATAAAGGGACCCCTTTGACATGATAGATAGCTTGGTTTGCAGGTGCCTTCCCCAGTGGGGTGGATGCATTCAGCGATCAGAGGGGGTGAGTCTTGTGGGTCCTCCAAGACTCCTGAGGCCAGAGCTCAGATCCACAGGGAGAGTGCGGAGGTATGGAGGCTGCTTTCACCCTGACAGGAGGATGGTTCTCTGGGTGGGACAGGCCGTCGGGGGATGGGGGGAGCCACCTGCAGGTGCAGATGCTGCAGAGTGGGAGTGGGGGTGCATCAGACGAGATGTGGGAGCCACCACAGCTGGGGTCCCTGGTGCTCTGTTACTTGGCGTGCCCCTGGAACTGCATGCTCTAATCATAGAAAGCTCTATGAGGCAGCGCCCCTCTAGCTGGGGGATCCGACTGTCGTTTGGAATGGTCTCTACTTTGGCGAGAAGTCGTTCGCAGCACTTCCCATTCTGCTCCGTGTTTCAGGAACCAACAGAAGATAGTGCTTAACGACCGTGAGTCAGAAACCGTGAAAGGGAGTCTCCCTGGGTTTAACGTATCAATTCCTTTATTACAAAATCAAACCAAAAACCCAGGCCTGAGTAGGAACTCTGTACATATTTGTTGGATGAGTACATGATTAAGCATGTACTCATCGGGCGCCTCCCCGCATCCAGCCCGGATGGACTTGCTGGGGTTGCCATGGTGACCGCAGCACCCAGCCCCTGTTCTGGGGGCTCACGGTCGGAACTGAGAGACTCCGTGATGTTTTCCTCCGTTAACGCTGTGACAACCACAGACTTACACGGGGGTGAGCTGTCCTGGAGATCAGGGGACCTGAGCTCTGACACGTGGGCCGAGGGTCACTGGATCACTTTCTTCGGCTGCATAACAAATGACCACTTAATGACTTCAAATGGCATGAATTTATTCTTTCAGTTTCCGTAGGTCAGAAGTCTGGGTGCTCTGGGGCCGGTCTGCTCAGGGTCTCACAGAGCGAAACTCCAGGTGTTAGCCAGGCTGCATTTCTTTCTGGATTTCCACACTCATTAGGGAGGTTGTTGGCCACACTCCGTTCATGCAGAGATGCCCATTTCCTTGGCGGCTGTCAGCCTCTTTCTCTTCCTAGAGGCGGCTCACTTTCCCCTTCCCATGTGGCCCCCCCTCCACCAACAGACAGCCTCCCACATGTCGAATCCCAGCCTCCATGCTCCAGATCTCTGTTGCCAGGAAGAACCTGGTGCCTTTTCAAAACGCTTGCCTGATTAGGTCAGGCCCACCCAAGATAATCTCCATCTTAAGGTCTGCTGCTTTGGACCTGACTTCTGTCTGCGGAGTTCCTTCCCTGCAGCATGTGGACTAGTGTTTGAATGAATACCTGGGAGAAAGTGTCTGTAACAGGGTCCAGGCATTTGGGAGCCACCTCAGAACTTTTCCTACTGCAGTCTCTCAGAATAAAAAGAGAGGGACCAGCCACTCACACAGAGGGAACAGTGCATGCAAAGGCCGGGACTAGTAAGGAGCGTGGGGCAGACTGGAGGCTGGAGGAGGGGGCAGTGGGGCTGGAGAGGCCGGACTGTGCAGGTCCGTGGTAAGGCCCCACGGGAAGCTAACCTATGAAGACGGGGAATGGCTCCGTTTACAGACTGATCAGAATCGGACGTATAACGTTGATCAGCTCACTCGGTTTCAGAATGGAGAAGAGACTGGGAGGGGGGCCCAGTGCTATCCCATAACACTTGGCAAGTACTTCCTAGGTGTCTCCTATATTGGGCAACTGGATTTTTAACTTTATTTCATTTTTACTACTTAAATGGAAATTTAAATCACCCTGTGCAGCCAGTGGCTGCCATACTGGATGAGTCAGCACCCATGGAGCCTTCTGGACGCTGTGCCTCGTCCCGTGGACCCTTTCTGCAGCCCTCAGAGGCACGGGCTCGTGGCCTTACTCTGTGGACAGGGCAGCCGAGCTCAGAGAGGCTGTGTGCTTTCACTGAGGTCACACAGCTGGATGAGCAGAGTTGGGCTGGACTCCAGGTCCCTTCCTGGGGGCCGCAGAAGTAGAGAGTCAGGTGGGGCTGGGGAGTATAGAAGTTTGAGGAGTAAAGGTGGGGATGTTGGACAGTGGGGGTGGCTGGGAATGAACCAGGCTGGAGAGCATTCCCTGCCAGCCACAGGAGGGTGATGTGTGGGCAGAAGGAGTCATGGAATGTTCCAGAAACCTGATGTGCTGGGACCTGTGAGATGCCTGAGGTCCTCTCTCCGTAGGACTCCGCACTGAGGGCCTGTTCCGGAGATCGGCCAGTGTCCACACCATCCGCGAGATTCAGCGGCTGTACAATCAAGGTGAGTCTGTACCCCAGAGACCCCTCATGCTGAGCCTCCCACCTGGCCGGCCTGCACCGCCCCCCAGGGCCGCAGAGTCCCAAATGCCGGGGTAGCGTAGCTCCCCTGCCCCACCCCACCCCACCCCGGAATGGCCCAGGGCTCTGGAGAGCAGAGGAGGGTGCAGTGGCAGCGTCCCCGGGTCCCACAGGTGACAGGGGCACGCCCTGGACATGTGGCTCCGGGAAAGCTCTTCCCCTCGGGAGTTTTAAGCCATCTGCATCAGAGCCCGTTGTGAAGCGGACTCCCCAGCCCCATCAGAACTCACATACGATGTTCTGTATCCAGGGAGGCCCGTGAACTTTGATGACTATGGCGACTTCCACATCCCTGCTGTGATCCTGAAGACCTTCCTGCGAGAGCTGCCCCAACCACTGCTGACCTTCAGGGCCTACGAGCAGATTCTCGGGATCACCAGTAGGTGCCTGCCCTGGGGGTGCCAGCCGAGGACCAGTCCGGGGGCAGGGGCTGGCCCGCATCCTCCTGTTGCCGTCTGGCACGGTGGGCCACGGTGTCCATGGCCAGGCCCGGCCACCACGGCCGGGCTAGCTGCAGGGACAGGCGCGTCATTGACCCAAGGGTGGCAGAATCCCTGCGGTGGCGGCGTGTCTTGCGGTGGGCGTCGGCGATTACCGGAAGGAGAGCAGGAGAAGGCGAGCCGGCCAGGAGGATGAGCAGAGGGGAAGGCTTGGCGGTGTGACTGACGTCCTCAGACTTCCCTAGGAGAGGGAAGTTAAAACAGGGTCACTGGGCCCCACCCCGGAGTGGGCTGAGAATCTGCATTTCTAGCCAGTTCCCAGGTGATGCTACCAGCCAGGGTTTTGTGCCATGGAACCCCGAGCTGAGAGGACTGAAGCACAGCCTATGGGTAGAGATCTGGCCCCAAAGGAACAAGTCTTAGGAGCAGAGCTTGACCTGTGGCCTTTTTGCACCAGGGGGTGGGGCTGGGCTGGGGCAGATGCTGAGAATTTTTAAGAATTATGATGGAAATAACATAAGCACAGAGTGTAAAAAAAAAAAAACACCCTGAAATCAACGGAGCAGAGGCTCTGTCATGAAACGGGAGTCCCGGCCGACCCTTGGGGTCCCACGCCGGCGCGGACCCGGCAGAAGCTCCGTGCGCGCTCCCCGCTTGGCCAGGAACGCTGCTTACGCACGCTGGCTTCGAGCTGGCTTCCTAAATGTTTTCTACCGTTACCCATCTTCTCATCCCTCCCTCCCTGTGTGCATATCTACTCGTTCTTTTCATGGTCATGCAGCCTTCCGTCCACTTTATTACTCTCTGGGTAAACGTTTGGGGCTGTTTCCAGTTTTGTTTTGAGCCCTGCAAATGTTAAGATCAGATAGTTCCGGAGTTCCAGTTGTCGAGAACCGAGATGCTGCCAGAGGCTTTAATAAAGATCCCGCTCTCTGGGCTGTGGCCTCACTCGGCCCGGCTGCATGCTGATGGGCATATAGGGTCACCAGATTTAGCAATAAAAAAATACAGGGTGCTCACCTCAATTTGAATTTCCAGTAAACAATGAATACTTTTTTAGTATAAGTAATAGTTGCTGTTTATCTGAAATTCAAAGTTCCCTGGGTGTCCTCTATTTCATCTGGTAATCCTACTCGGGTGGGATGGGTTTCTCCTGGAAGTGATACAAAAGCAAGGCTTTCTGGGGTACGCTCGGGAGGAATGGGTTTTCTGGGTGGCCTGCAGTGTCCAGGGCACAAGGATATCATAGGGGGGACATCTGTCTGATCTGCAGCAAGGAGGTTAGGAGGACTGGCTCAGAGCCGCACAGATCTGGATCCAAGTCTGGGCGTCACCACGCATTAGCTATGTGACTTTGGGCACGTCACTTAACCTCTCTGAGCTCACTTTCCTCATCTGTATAGAATGGGGGCTGCTTTGAGGATTAAATGTGCATAAAACACATGGCATCGCTCATGGCACCTGCTAAGTGCTTTCTGACGGTCTGCAGGCGCCTCCCGCCTGCCTGCTCACCGCTTAGTGCTCTTTCTCGAAGGGACCGCGGTGAGAGCTGGAGGTAGATCTTGTATGAGGACCCGCTCTGGGACCATAATTCGTAGAAAGATGACATTGAGGCCAGGAAGCTGAGGTCCAGGCACCAAGATGGCGGCCTCCAAGCTCATTGGTTTCTTGGGAATATTAATTTCACGGGAACTCTCTGTCCATTGACATTACCCACGACAGCTCGAGTTCGTGAAAGAGCTTTTATTAAAAGGCCAACAAGAACATTCATGGTAGGGAAATCCGTGCCTTTTAGCAGTGGCTGTGTTTGGAATGCACACGGTGTTCATGGTAACCCTGCCCGAGGCTTAGCTGGAGGAGGTGAGCGCGTTGGAGGCGGGGGGAGTGAGCGTGCACACGTGTGTCTGCAGCAGGAGCGTGCTGAGCACCCGGGGAATCGTGGGTGCGCTTTGACTTGCAGCTTATGGAGCTCAGTGGAGGGCTTAGTTACGAGGAAAGTGGGGGGTCTGAGTCTGGGGCAGCCTCACCCAGGTTCTTGGTGCATGGGGGGCCCTGAGCTGCAGGGAATCACAGACCGGTTAAGTCAGTCTGGAGCAGGCTGGGCAAACTTTCTGTGAAGGGCCAGGTCGTCTTTCAGGCTTTGTGGGCCAGTCCGTGTGGCCATCCTCAGCTCTGCGGTTCTGCACAAGTAGCCAGAGATGACGTATAAATGAAGGGGTGTGGCTCCGTGCCAGTCAAGCTTTATTGACAGAAGTGGGCCGTGTGGCCCACAGGCTGCAGTTTGCTGACCGCTGGTGTAGACCATTCCCACGTATGAAGTGAGTGAGTGGGCTTCATGCGCTCTCTGGGAGGGCGTAGTTGCGGTACCAGTGTAAAGAAGGGACTGGAGCCCTCGGAAGGGAGGGCTTTGCGGGGAACGGCCACATGGCCTGGAAGGGAGTGAGGCCCCCAGGCCTGACGTCGGGACAGTCTGGCCTCAGAGCTGTCCCCCCTGCGCCCATGCCGTCCCCTCGGGGAAGACCGAGGAAGAACCCTGTGCCGTTGTAGGTGTGGAGAGCAGCCTGCGGGTGACCCGCTGCCGCCAGATCCTGCAGAGCCTTCCAGAACACAACTACGCTGTCCTTAGCTACCTCATGGGCTTCCTTCATGAGGTGAGTGGGCAAAGCAGGGCCCCGGTGGGGAGGCCCAAACTCTGTGCCTGGCCCAGGGGGCCCCCTCCTGCACATGGTGCCCACACAGACCAGGGTCTGGGGTCTCCCTCGCCCAAGGACTCCACTTCTGTGCCTGCCCCTGCTGACCCCATACCTGGCAGCCCCCTCAGTCACTGATGGGACCTTCTTGGTTGAGGTCCTCTGCTCCCGCGTCATCTCCTGCAGGGGCTGTCTGTGGAGGAAGGGGCTGGGTCCCCAAGCCAGGGCACCGAGGCTGACGCGCAGTGTGAGCAGACTGAGCAGGCCGTTCCTGAGAGAGGAACGTGTCACCGGGTGCGTGACCTGGGGCTGCCGTAACACGGTACCACTGCCTGGGCAGCTACAGACATAGACACGTGTGGTCACGGTCCTGGAGGCCAGAAGGCCAGAATCCGGGTGTGGGCAGGGCCGTGCTCCCACAGGGGCTCTAGGGGAGGGTCCTTCCTGCCCCTCCCAGCTCCTGGTGGCTCACGCGTCCCTTGGCTTGTGGCCACCTCACTCCTGCCTGTCTCCACACGGCCTTGTGCCCTCTCTGTACAAACCTCCTTCCGCTTCCTCTTACAAGAATGCTTGTCGTTGCATTTAGGGCCCACCTGGATAATCCAGAATGATCTCACTTTGAGATCCTTGATTACATCTGCAAGGACCCTTTGTCCAAATCAGTCACATCCACAGGTTCCTGGTGGATATCTGTGTTGTGGGGCTGCCATTCCACCCCCTACACAGAGTGAGAAAATGAACGGTGCGAGAAGCACCTGTCCCGGCTCTGGGTCCGGGCTGAGCTCCCCACTCCTGGGGCAGGGAGCAGTGGTCTTCGAGGTCAACAGGGAAAACCTCAACAGGTCCAAACGGGCCCCTCCCTTTGCTTCCAGACGCACGACCCTCTGCCGTCTGACCCTTCCTGGAACACTCATCCGTCCAGGCCCTTTGTAGGCAGTGTGGGGTGCAGGCATGGACGAGGCAGGACTTGGCCATGGGGCTCCCAGCCGTGGGGCGCATTTCCACCCACAGCGTGACAACACCACGGCAGGGTCCTGCCCAGGGTCTTCGGGGCTTATGCAGGAACCCTGCTCCATGGCAGGTGGCCTGGGGATGTGATCACCAATGGAGGGGAGGGGACCTCCGGGCAGAGCTAATGTTACATGTTGGAGTCTGTCAAACACCACCTCTTGGTTTTAAAAATAAACTATTTCGGGGGCGCCTGGCTGGTGCAGTCAGTAGAGCAGGCGACTCGATCTTGGGGTCATGAGTTCGAGCCCCATGTTGGGCGTAGAGATTGCTTTAAAAAAATGAACTATTTCGTCTCCCTCTCTGTCACTTGATCTTATTTCTCAGAAGCCAGAAACTAAGTTATCCTAATCTTTTTTTTTCCTACTTCTTTTTCATTAGCTAGAGATGGATTTATTTCTCTGTCCTCCACCATGACACTGACATTAATCATCCCATGGGGCTGGGCGCTGGGTGGCATTGGCCCCTGGTGCACACCTGCAGGGGCGTGGGGGTTGCCTGTCTCATAGACGCAGGGCTTCCTCACCAGATCCATAGGGGGTCACCAGGCAGTGCAACCCCCCCAGTAGTTCTGTGCTCTCCCATGACCCCCGAGGCTCTGCATTGCCTACTTCTGATTCATAGAGGTCCCCAAGACCCTGGAGGCAAGGAAGAGGTCAGGCCATGCCCTCTTATGGCCCCCCTGCCACCTACTGGCCACATGACTTCGGGCAAGTCCCCTGCATCTTCTGGGCCTTAGTTTCTTCACCTGTAAGATGGGTGATGTATCCTGCTTTTTGGGGTTGTAAGTGCTGTAAGGCAAGCTCTTCCCTTCCCCACCGTCCCCAGTCCTCCAATGACCCCCGTGTGCTAGTCAGTCTTGACTATGCCCTATTCACTGGCCAGTGTGGATATCAGAGACGTGGTCTGGCTGGGTGACACCAAACACCCTGCTTGCACCCACAGTGCTGGAGGCTCCCCCCCAAGGGGACCTCCCCAGTCCTCTGGAATGGAAGAGAAGACTGGGGCCCTGAGGAGATCCCAGAAGGAGCTTACAGACGGTCAGTGCCAGAGGGTCCCTTGGAGCATCAAGACTGAGTCCTTCCTTCTACAGATGGGGAAACTGAGGCCCAGAGGAGGGAGCTGGCCGTACAAGGCCGTAGCACAGAACCCACAGTCACTCGCGGTCTCATGTGTGTCCTCCAGGTGTCCCGGGAGAGCATTTTTAACAAAATGAACAGCTCCAACCTGGCGTGCGTCTTTGGGCTGAATTTAATCTGGCCATCCCAGGGGGCGTCCTCCCTGAGCGCCCTCGTGCCTCTGAACTTGTTCACCGAACTGCTGATCGAGTACTACGAGAAGGTCTTCAGCACCCCGGAGGCCCGCGGGGAGCTCAGCACTGGCGTCCCTGAGGCAGGTGAGCGGGGCGGCCCCTTCCCTGAAGGCTGCACAGGAGACAGACCCTCCATGGGCCCCGCCTCGCCCCCCGCGCCTCCGCGGCCCCTGCCGGCGGCTGGGACGCTCCGCTAGGGTGGGAAACGCCACACTGAAGTCGGTGCTGTCCTGTGCTTTGTAAACTTGCCGCTCAACTTCTGGTGAACAGCCAGAGTTCTGACTCTTGGCCCTTCTGCCTCGTTCTTGGGCTGTGGGCTGAGATAAGATGACGGATCCCTCAGAATCCTAACCCAGTGTGGCTGAACTGGGGCCACGCTGGGAGTCTGTCGGTGAGCAGCCCTCGTCCGGCTGGGATCCAGGTCCACTGCTGTGGCATGCCACTTAGAGCATGGCTGTACATTACTGTCCGCGGGCGAGCAGCGGGCTGGGCGTCTCTTCTGCTCTGGCCGGGGCTCGGTGGGTGTCGGGCTGGCTGGGGCTCAGCTGGGGGGACGCAGCTGGGTCCCTGCTGTGTGGGGGGTGGTTCTCGTTTGCTCCCCACCCCTCACTCTGCTTTATCATCCTGCTCCTTCTCGTGCCCTCAGCTAACCCAGGCCAGAACGGTCCTCTTGTGCAGCTTGGAAAGTGACCATGGTTTCATTTATTTCCTGTCCTGCCACATAGCCTTGTTCTTTTCTTCCTTTTTCTTTTTTTCAAACCCAGCCCTCCAGCTCTGACCCCGCCACAGCCCGGCACGGAGAGCTGAGACCCGGCCACAGCCTCTGGACAAGCTGCCTGCCGTCTGCACCCCTGCCCCCGGGAGGGGGTCTGTGCTCCCACAGTTCAGCACAAGCCCAGAAAAGCCTCAGAGTTGTGTTGCCAGGAAAAAAAAAAAAAAAACAACCTGAAATAAAAACGATGGGTCCCTTAAGAGCACACCGCTGTGAGCAGCAGAATTAACAACGACATTAAATCAAATCTCGTGCATTATGCAGAAGGGTTTACGGTGTGACGCACGGCTGTGAAATGTCTGTCTCAAATTTCCTGACTCCGAGAGGTGGCCCTAAGACGTTTTCCTGTGGCTGCTTTGATAACCGTCTCCCTTTCACGAACGATAATTGTGGAATCCCAGCTTCAGCACAGCGTGGCCTTGTCACCCTTCCTTGTATCAAAGCGCCATTTCCCTATCATTTCCACAGCAAAGGAGAGCGATTACGGTGCTAATGTGTGGCAAGCACGCGTGGTGCATTTCAGCGTCAAACAATGAAATGTGATGTGGAAATGAGGACTCCAGGGTGTCTCTGTTGACAGGATGTGTGGAATAAATTGTTCAAACATTCACTTTTGCAGAAACGACAGAGATTTATTTAAGTGACTCCAGAGATTAGGCAGGCTGCCCAGAACTTGTAGCTGATATCCACAATGAATTTATTGAATCCCGTCCAGAACGTGAAAGTCAGTGGCAAAGCAAGCGGCTGGTCTGCCCCGGAGAGAGCCAGGCTGCCATCACTGGGGGGAGCCAGGACCGGGCACCTCACTTCTGCCACCAGCTGCGATTCACAGCCCTGGGGTCCTGGGCCAGTCATTTTGCCCAGCGCAGGGAGTTCTAGGTCAGAAGGCTCAGCTTGGGGTTCTTTCCCCCCACGGTGGGTGCGTGAGCAGGGTGCATTCCTCGGGCCTTTTCTTGCTGGTACAGTGCGGAAGGCGGTATCCACTCTGCAATCCCCTATGTGCTTTCGAGCACCTGCTTTGGGCCAGGCAGTGCCTGTCCCACAGATACAGAAATGAGGAGGATGCACTTCCTGCTCTCAGAGGCTTGCAGAATAGTTGGGGAGTGAATAAGCAAAGAAATGCACAAAGAAGCGTATTTGGAGCTAAAGCAGTGCTCACAGGACACAGGCAAGTGCGGGGAGGGGACAGAGGAGAGAGTCATGGGCACCTCCCAGCTTTCTCATCTTGAGATACGCGGGCAGCTCAGGGTGGTGGTCTTCCCTGACGTGGAGAGGGTGGGAAAGGAAGGGCAAGTTCTGCTGTTGGTTTGATCGCAAAAAGTCTGCTGTTGTGTTGTAAGAACAACCACTGCTCAGAAGGGAAAAAAAATTCAGTGACAAAGTGTAGAAAGAGAAGGTGAAAATCACTTGAAATTTTACTGCCCGTAGATAACCACTGTTCATATTTTGAGGAACGGGCACTTTTATATACTGCCAGTAGAGAGATAGATTGGTCCAGTCACTTTGGAGAGCAGTTTAGCAAGCTGGTGAAGGTAAAGCTGATCCAGCACTTGTGTGTCTAGGCAAGGAACCGAAGAGGTAGGTACGAGAGCATCACTGCGGTGTTCTTGTCAGAGCAAATAATTAGGTGCAGCCTGAGTGTCCATCACTAGAAGAAATGGCAGATAAAGGAGTTACATCCATGTGACTGAACAGTAAAAATGAACGAAGCGGATCTGTATGCCTCAACAATGGCAGATCTCCAAATAGTACATTGAGAAGGAAAAGAAAAATCAGAGGATGATAAATACTGTGTGTTTTCACTTGTGTAAAGTTCTAAAAGTCCCTCATCCTATATCTACCTCATGAATTGTACGGTGTTACACTTTTTAAAAAAGATTTTATTTTTTAAGTAATCTCTACACCTATCGTGGGGCTCGAACTCACAACCCCAAGATCAAGAGTCGTGTGCTCCACCCACTAAACCAGCCAGGTGCCCCAGTATTACTTTTTGAACAATATACATAGAAGACGTCTCCACATAAAAAGTGAATAGGTAGGAGGCATACCAGATTCCTCAGACAGAAGAACAAAAGGGTCCTTAACTATTTCTGTCATGTTTTGTATATGTAAGTGTTCTGTTTCCAGTATGGCTGAATAACACCTACAGGATTTGACCTTTCCACAGACAACATTATGAGCTCTGGACAAAATACAAAAGAACAAAAATAAACAAAAAAGTGAGCAATGACTTGAAGGCACTGGAGAATGAACAAGGACAGATTCTGGAGGGATGTCCACACTTAGAAAAAGTGAATAGCACAGGATGAGCTTCCATTATGTAGCTTTTAAGCCGAGCCAGACTGAAGTTCACACTTGTGTGAGAATGGCTTTATCTCCAGGAGAAATTCACAGTCTTTTTGGTTTGAAGAACAGAGGACAGAGTTTGGGACAACAACAGTCACCAAACAGTGGGCAGGGAATTTCATACAGAAGAAAGCCTGCTCAGGAGAGCCTAAATTCTGTGCATAAACTCTGCTCCAAGTTCTGCCTGATCCCTGAGCCACACCTCTGTAGGACAGACACCAGCTATGGATAAAACACCCAACCTGAGGTTTGAGCTACCAATAGACAGGGTCTGTGGCTTGACTCCAGCAGAACCCTCTACAAAAGGGTGCAAAAGGTACAAAAAGCCTCTACAACGTAACATTAACAATGTTCAGCATGCAATGAAAAATGATTATATGAAGAACCAAGAACATGCAGCCTACTCTAAAACAATCAACAGACACCAACCTTAGAATGATGCAGGTGTTAGAAATAACTGTCAAGGATGTTACAATAGCTATTATACACATCCTCAAGTATATAAAGGAAAACAGGCTTATGATAAATGCAAAGATAGGAAATCTCAGTAAAAAATAAACATAGAAATCATAGGATAAAGGGGGAATTCTAGAAAACCAAATACAATACCTGAAATTACGGGGGAGGGGGGGAGGAAACTCCCAAAAGCAAAATAAAAACACTGGTTGTGTTTAATAGGAGAATGGAGATAACAGAAGAGAGTCGGTGACTTTGAATGTAGCCTAATAGAAATTACCCTATCTATAAAATAAAGAGTAAAATGGGAGCACCTGGCTGGCTCAATACATAGAACACGTGACTCTTGATCTCGGGGTTGTGGGTTTGAGGCCCACGTTGGGTGTAGAGATTACTTAAATTAAAAAATAAACAGTAAAAGGATTGAAAAACAATATGAACAGAGCCTCAGGGACCTGTGGGACAATATCAGAATATTTTACATACGTGTAATTGGAGTTCTGGAGAAGAGAGAGTGGGGCACAAAAAAACTAAAAAATTAATGGCTAAAAATATTTCCAGTTTGGTGAGAGACATAAATTGTCAGAGTCAATCATCTGAGTGAACCCCAAGCTGGATAAATTACAAAGAAAACTACACACAGGCACACCAGAGTGGGCCTTCTGAAAACCAAAGATAAAGAGGAAATCTCGAAAGCATCCAGAGAAAAACGAAACAAGACCAACAATTGAGACTAGCTGACTTACAAGCGGAAACTATGAAGGCCAGAAGACAGTGCAACAGTATCTTGTTCCAGTACAATAAAGGAACAACACTAAATTGCTCACAGGAGGGGGAAAGTATCAAAATCAGAATTCTCTTGTCAGCCAAAAACATTTAAGACTGAAGGTTAAATCAAAACTTTTTTTAGGTCAAAGAAAACTAAAGGATTCTTTTCGTTGGCAGACCTGCACTACAGAAGAAATACCAAAGGAAATTCTTCAAGGTGATAGGAAATGAGAACAGATTGGAACCTGGATATTTTGGAAATGATCGAGATCATTGGAAATGGTAAATATCTGGATTATATAAAGGAATACTTTTCCCTCTTAATTTTAAAGAGATAAGCAGGGCTTTTTAAGGCAAAAGTTATAAAATCGTCTTACAGGTTTTATGATATATGTAGATATAAAACATACCACAGCTGTAGCATTGGGTCCAACAGAGCGGGGATGCGTGGGTTCAGGGTTTCTACCTTTTACATGGAGTAGGACAGAAGTCATCCCAAGTAAACTAAAAAGGTATGGTTGTATGTTATGATCCCGAGAACAGCTACTAAAAAATGATGCAAAAAGATTTAAAAATAGGTAAGTTGCAAGTGAATTCCAAAAACATTCAAAAATCCAAAAGAAGGCAAGAAAGGATAAACATGAGAACAAAAAGACAAACAGGAAAAAAATAATAA